AACCGAGAAGTGAATTGCTGGTCTGAGTTCCTGTAGTATATTCAATTAGAGTATTTTCTGAAACACACAGTCAAGCAGGTGTGAACAGCTTCAATGATAGCTGTCCAGCAGTACTCTCATTTTATTTAATGAACAATCCAATGCCTACGAGATTGAGCCGAAGGTGTGCCGATGGATGTGCCCAAGCTGTGTCATATCTACCCTTGAATGCACTACATTATTAGGCAACGATAATTCCTGTTAAACACAGTAAACAGCGCCTATGGCACAGCAGCGGCATCCCACCGCTCTTGATAAACCTTTTTAACAAAGTATCACGCATGAATAGAGCTTGCTTGCGAATATTTGCAGCAGCTGTCAAATGTTGACGTAAAATCGAACTAGAGAACCAGGATTTTTTGGCTTCACACAAAGTATATGGTAACGACATGAATCTGGTCCTCGAAGGCCCTCCGCTATCATATGCAGATGATCTTAAAATCTATATCCGGATCCGTTCTATCGATGACTGTCACTTCCTCCAACGCCAGCTCGAAGCGTTTGCTAAATGGTGCAACTTGAACCGAATGGAGGTCAACCCCGCGAACTGTTCAGTTATCACCTTCTCTCGCAAGAAGGAACCGATCATGTTCAATTATGCACTTCAGGAAACAACTAACCACGTAAAAGACTTGGGAGTTATTCTGGATTCCCAGTTAACGTATAAGCAACACATCTCGTTCATCGTTGACAAGGCGTCAAGATCTTTGGGATTAATTTTCAGGATTGCAAAGAATTTTTCCGATATATATTGTCTCAAATCGCTATACTGTTCCCTGGTGCGGTCCACCCTGGAATATTGCTCTGCAGTATGGAACCCAAGCTATAACAAGGGTGCTGAAAGAGTTCAGTCCGTTCAGCGTCGATTTCTTCGATTTGCTCTGAGGAAGCTGCCTTGGAGAAACTCTTTTCGTCTACCCAGTTATGAAAGTCGATGTCAACTGATTGATCTGGAGCTTCTACGTACTCGGAGAGACACTTCGCGGGCCCTGCTCATCGCGGATAGTTTACAGGGTAGAATTGATTGTTCTACAATCCTGGAGAAGATCAACGTGAACGTCCAACCCCGATCGTCTGTTTAGTCGGCAGCAACCATTGTGTGGTCCTCCTCATTGTTCTTCATCAGCAGTTCTTTCAGTCGATACGTCGTCAACTTTGCAAAGCAACCCTTTCGTGATGAGTGTGTGAGTGCTGACCACGTTTTGCGTCCATTGCTACAATGGAAGCGCTCTGACCCTCGTTGGCGAATCTGCCATACAAGTAAACCACTGGAAGCGGCTCCCGTTCTGGTAGAGGAGACTTATTGGATAGCGGAAGATAAAATGTGTATTGTGTTGTACCTTTTGACTATAGTTTTAAGATGTATCGATAGTGAACAAGAATCCTCGGCTCTGTAAAGTTAATTCGGTTGATCCTTATCAAATAAATTAATATTAACAAAATAACGTTTTGGCAAGTTCGTAAAGTTCCTGAAATTTGCCTGAAGTTAATATGATTCCCCTGAGGCTCTTTGATCTTCTTTGGAGTAACAAGCAATAGCGGAGCAATAAATTTTCAAATCGAGAGCGCCTAATGAAAATTTGCTTCCACAAATTCCTTTGCCTTTGGAGATGTAGGTGCATCCAATTCATAAGGCGACCCAAATAAAATAAAACTATTTATTATTTTCTACATAATAGGCGTATATAGTGCAATTTTGTTCACATGAGGAAAGTGCATGTAGATCGAAATTTCTGCGCCCAGTTATGTTTGATTAATAAAACAACTTCAAGGGACTACGTGGTCTTATATAATAAATGTTATTTGTTAAATGCAGCAGGAGCTTGTGTTTTGTGTAGGAATAGGAATTTGAGCGGGGTTCTCACTGTTTATACTCTTTAGTGTGACGCGCATGACAAAGATGGCCCACAGCGACTCACGAAGAGCTACTGATTTCGATCAATAGCGGTGCGGCTTCTTCCTCCTTCTATAGAAGGTCATGTGGGCTGCAGCTCGCTGCTTGCAGGCAGCCTTTCGTTGTGTACTGGAGAACAATGTTCAACGCCACGTGCCGAAAGTACTGCTGCTAATGCTGATGCCGACGTTCGGACTCTACCACACACGGTGATTGGAACTGAATCCGATCAGCCGTTGAGGCCAGCCTTGATAGCTAGCTGCTTGCAGGCAGCCTTTAGTTTGATTGAATAAGCACCGTTTGGTGAGACCGGATGGAATTAAGCTTTGAAATATATATTAGGGAATTCGCTTTTGGCAGGCAATCGGTGATAATTTTATTTATCATAGCAACAGTTGCTCATTCGAGCAATTTTCAACAGTGACATTTTGAAAAATGATAAACCCTTAAATTTAACGGATGCGTAGAAATATTTTTGATCGATTGGTGATAAAATTATTCAAATTGGTTCAGGGGCAGCTGAGTTATTAACGTTCAAAATCTTTCATAATTTTGTTTTCACAAAGTGTACTCCCATATAGAAATCACAGACGTAGTCCTACGTCAAAAAACAAATTGGGTTTCACAGCTGGTTACTTTTGGAGTAACCCCAAGTAGCACACTTGTTCTATAGTAGTTTATATAACCTTTGTATGACTGATTTTGATTGTAAAAAAGTTTACTCAACATAATTCTATGAATTTGTGTTACTTGGAGCCATGAGAAACCACCATGACAGGCCTGTCAGGACAATTCCAGTGATCTGCTGAAGTACTACCTTCTAGTCCACTAAATGCTTCAAACACACCGTCGCAGTCCAAAACGAAATAATGAAATTAGTGATCTCTGATGAAAATTGCGCTTCCCGGAATATTCTCATTCTCCGACAAAATTATTTCAAAAGGAAATCATATCCAACGAATCGCACAATTGCTGTAGCAGATTCCCTTAATTTATTGCGAAATTTGTCACTCCAATAGATTCAATATAAATCCCACCCCAGCGACAACAGCAGCAATCGCTTTAATCATTCAATTAACATACTACTCCTCCGCTCGAATAAATTGCCCTGTCACGACAAAAGCCATCCAACAACGAGCGACAAATCGACATAGATTAACGGAAGCGAAATATTCCGTTCGGTGCGTCGCGTAGTTGTGTATTGTTACTTGAAAGACCAAATTCTCCAATTTCGCGAACCCACCAATCTAATTTCGAAGAAGGACTGTTGTCGTTGTCGCGTCGCTGTCGGTGGCCTAGTGCACGAGCGACCTTATTAGCATAAAGTTTATTTCACGAATTTGGATGCCTGAAATCGACGCCGCCGACGACGACGCTGGTTGGCTTCTGATCAAATCCCATAAATGCCTTACCAAGGACCGAGAGTAGGGATAGGGAGAGACTCAGATAATTCAATTGAACTCCTCCAAAATGGAAAATTGGTTTAGCGTGTTTGGAACGCGTAGTGCGGTGCGTCGTTCGATGGGGTTGTTAATTGATATTCAAAGCGGATTGGATGGGAACGTTCGCCTGTCAGTCATTCTCGGTGGGAGATTTCCTTTTTGAAGTCGCCTGAAGGTATACGCACATGTACAACACGTGTAACGTGAAAACTTGTTCTGATGGTTGAGATGGATGAGGATCTGAGTCGTAAAGGAGGATGTAGGTAAAACGAGATTAGAGCTCTAGTAATGAATATCAACTTGAGTACTCTTGACAACGCAATCGATTGCAAGAAGCGATCCGAATAAAAATTGATATGAATCGATTCTCTTCATCGACATTCTCTTTTGATAACCACAGCTATGCAAACAGATTTCGGGCTAGTTTTACCACATAATGTAGTTTGATAAAGGTGGGTTCTTATCAAACGTCCAAAATGTCAAATTCAACAGGGAAAGGTTTTGCAGCTGAATTCGAGCTGAACAATCTGAGCCTTTCGATAGGGGACGTGGCCAAGAAAGTCAATTTTTCCGTGTGGTTCGTCCAGCAGACAATGAAGCGGGTCGGACTTCATGTCTTCAAGGTAAGGAAGGCGCCTAACCGAACCGATAAAAAAACGGTGGCCGAATCCCGCGCCAGAAAGCTGTACTGCGAGTGGTTGGTGAAGCCGAAATGCATCGTAATGAACGACGAGATGTATGTTAAAGCGGACGCCAAGCAGATTCTCGGCCTGGAGTTTTTCGTCGGCAAGTCCCGCCTGGATGTTCCGGAGAAGTTCCGGAGAAAGAAGGTCGACAAAATTTGCCAAGAAGTACTTAGTGTGGCAGGCGATCTGTAGGTGCGGCAGATTCAGCAAGCCGTACATAACGACCGGCAGCATCAACGGCCAAATATATAAAGAAGAATGCCTCCAGAAGCGCCTGCTGTTCTTCCTCCAGTCCCACGAAGGTGACACTCTGTTTTGACCGGATCTTGCATCGTGCCATTACGCGAAACCGGTGATGGAGTGGTACGAAGCCAACGATGTTGTTTTTGTGCGGAAGGAGGCAAATCCGCCAAACTCGCCAGAGCTTCGCCCAGTAGAAAAAAATTTGGGCGATTATGAAGGGCAAGCTCTGGAAAACAGGGAAGGTCTTCATAAACGACAAGAGTATATGAAAGGGTGTAAGAAAGATGGCGCAAGTGTTGCACAGGATTTGATGGGAAGCGTTAAGTCAAAAGTGCGGGCATTTAGCCTAGGTGAGGAGGTTGAATAAACCAACATTGCAAAAAACATAGCTAATATGTGTTTATTTATTCCTTGAGAGTTTCAAAAATATCCGACTTAAATTGAATTTTTCGGTGATCATTTTTGTCTGTTGCATTTTTTCGAGTACAGCCTTTATTAACGATAAAAAAAGTCGATGGAGATAACCGATCAATATTACTGATCACCTAATGCATTGTTCAGCTTGAATTACTAACGAAAGAGAAAATCGATACAGAGAATCGATCAATGCAGATAGGACAATTTAAAATTTTTATGTTCGCCCTCACAACACATAGAACATCAATGAAACAAGAATAGTCATCACCCCCAACTTACCTTTCATCACAACAAGTTGAAACACGTACATCCAAATGTTGGCCTTGATTAGCATTTTTGCGGCCGCTTTTCCCCCCGATTGCAAACTAGCCTGGAGGAACCCAGGCAGCCTGGGAGGATGCTCGTAGTTCGAGATTTGAGCGGTTTCACTAATACCGCCACCACCACCACCACAACAACAACCACCGTCTTCACAAAAACACATCAACACTCACGACACGACATTAGCGTGCTAAGCGTCCTCACCGCCACGACGTTCTTCGACCGATTCCAAAATCATCCTCCTCCTCCTTCGCCGCCGTTCGGTCGTTCTGGTGTGATTTTCATTTCCGAGGATTAGCTAATTTCGAACGGGATAATGATAACGGTTTTCTTTGCACTCTGACTGGAATTTTTCAGACGGTCGTTGGTGTCAAGTTCTTCTTCAGGTTGAGTCTGTAAAGGAAGAAGAAGATGGGGGAAATTACTGTCAGACGGGAATGCGTGGTGGAAATTCAATTTGAAAATGAATCTCGATTGGAATTGGAGCACAGAAGTTCAGAAATGGTGGAACAGATGGTGGAGGGTTTAACGGTGATGATACCTAAAGGCTGACTAAAAGTAAATTAGTACGCATAAAATGACCTGTAATTCGTGATTCAATAAGTTTTAAAAGTCCATTAATGATTGCTTTACAGTACTTTTATTAAAACTTCAAAGTTATAGCATAAGATGGTTACATTTCTCCAGTTCGAACGAAATCTCGAACCTTCCTCTTCCGGGCAATTCGGAGGATTCATTAGCTTGGGGAGTAGTTGCAGCAAATCGGGCCAAAAGATGACTTTGCTCCTATGCTTACGGATGAACGTCAATACACGCTTTTTCAGACATTCTTCGATGTAAACTTAGGATGTCATCGTCGAGGATGTGACGAATGGTTCCGTTGTCAGGCCACAACTGCAAATCACTTGCAAAATCATGGCCTTCTACTCGAACTTGTCGGCAAACACGAACTTGAATCTTCCCGGCACATCCCCACGTCCAGTCGCGATGTAAAACTTTTGACCGGGAAGATGCTTAAAACCGAGTTTGACGTATGTTTCGTCATCGATCGAGGTGCAGCTGTGTTTCGTCAAAACACGGTCGTACGAATTCAGTATTTTTTATTAAAAACATAATGTTTATTCTTCAAAAAAACGTCAATGAATATTGGAGAAGGGGCCCTGGTCAGCCGTACGACGCAACTTAGTCGCGATGCTCTCAAAAGAGCGCTGGACTGTAACCGATGGTTCCAGAATGTTGGCTTGTGACTCTATCACAAGCGGACTTATGATTAACTGTATAACAGTTTTGTAGAATTGTCGTCCTAAATCCAACCCTGCTTTTGGTCGCTCACTTTCCCATACCTTTCCATTCGCCTGCGGCACCACTCACTCTCATCAAACCGGTTGACAGCAGGCGCTCTGTCGAGAAGGTTGTCCATAGATGGGACAAGGGGAGAGACAACGACCGGTTAAATAAATATGTAAATACAGCAGCATTTCGGGTCTGCTCGTATTTCGTGGTTTTTTGCGGGTAATTGCTTGGTATGCTAGCAGGAGTCAATTTAATTCTGTTCCAACCGCACTCGCGAATAGACTCAGTGCGTGACGTGCTAATTTTCCCGAAGGTTCGCTGGAAGGGCGAGGTAATGTGTAGTATGGTTTTTTAAATAGTGTGTTTTGTTGTAATTACAGATCTAGGGTTAGTCAAACTAAAAATTAGTAGTTTCAGTCGTGATTAAAAATATCGTTAGTAAAAGTGGTTAGTAGTGTTAGCTGTAAAATTAATATTGAAAATAATGTGTATGTTGTTCTTAAATGTTAGGGTACTTCGACCAATATTCACCCCAAACTGACGGTTGACTGATACCGTGCAGATAATCCCAAAAGAAACAGGTAAATTTATGTACATTTATTGTAAATTTGTGAAAAATCTGTATTTTATGGTAAAAATGCGGTTGGTTTCGTTTTAAAAGGGGCAGGCTTACTAGATGTATATGGCGTGGTTCTAATAAGCGTGGTTAGGTCCACAAAGGGCCTTTTTATATTTTTCTTTGGCAGTGGTTGTCCTGGAGAGAGCGCCATTGTGTCCGAGGTCAAAGGACAAGCCCGGCATAATCGGAGAGTCCATTTTGGAGAGGCTATTGTGGAAAGACCACGTTGCAGCGGAAATTGCCACTCTCTATACTGTTCGTCAGTCGCATATTATCACCACACGAAGCTACAGTTTTGTTTACTTCGCGCTGTGAATAATATCAAAATTATTGTGTATATAACGTAGATTTTTTCACGAAAATCACTTCAACGGATCAACTAGTGCCTGAAAATTGTGAACCAAGTGTTATTATTTAGACTTTTGACGAATCTGGAGTGCTACAAAGCAAACAAATTACCATCATATCTCTATTGATATTAGCAACAAGTAGTGTATAGTAACTAGCTGGGAACCCGTGAAACTCTCGGTTCTTTGGCATAGAAGTTTTTAAGTGAGTGTGAAACCATAAGCCGCAGTGCCCTTCTCCGGCCCCATGGTCGGCCACAACCGTGCACCCCCCAGTGACCCACCGGATGGGGGAATATTACCTGACTGGTTGCTAGGCGAAGATGAGCTCGGACAGGTTATTGCGCTTCAAATGAGAGTACGTCAAACACCTGACGAAAATAGTGACGAAAATGAACTCAGCCTCCCATCCTATCCTTTTTTGATCGGTAGCGCAGCAATACTAGCCCTGGGCTCTGTTGATGCTAGAAAAGTCCATGCATCAAAGGAAGCACGAGGTAGCCGATACATTCTTCGAACAAAGTCACGATCAATCTGCAAAAAACTGAAACAAATCTCCGAACTGCCGGATCACACTCCTGTGGAAGTAATAGAACACCCTGGGTTAAATGTTGTTCAAGGGGTAGTGTATGATCTGGATACTATAGACAAATCTGAAGAGTATATTAAGCAACACCTACAAGAGCAAGGTGTGTAAAGTGTACGTCGTATCACAAAACGTCGTGCAAACACCGTCACCAACACACCACTGCTTGTTGTCACATTCCGTGGATCGATTTTACCAAAGTACATCTATTTTGGTGTACTTCGGATTAATGTACGGCAATATTATCAATCTCCAATGTTCTGCTACCGCTGTGCAAACTTCGGCCACACAAAAAAGAACTGCAACGATAGCAAAAATCAACTCATATGCCTAAACTGCTCAGGTACACACAAATTGATTGAGGGAACCCCATGCACTAAACCAGCTTACTGTTAAAACTGTCAACAAGAACACTCTCCATCATCCAAGGAATGTCCAATCTATCGCGAGGAAGAAGCTATTATTCGGCTAAAAACGAATCGTGGCCTAACGTACGCAGAAGCTAGACGGGAATTCCGTGAAGCCAATAAAGGCTCCTCCTACGCGAGCGCTGTGCAATCAAGACTCCGTATCGAAGCAGAGGATAAGGATCGTACAATTTAGCTAATCAAAGCAGAAATCGAAACGTTGAAACAAATGGTATCGAATTTGAAGTCTCAGATAGGTAAAAACCGTCGTGACCCTCATCGCTCGACAAATCAGTCAAACAATGACTCGAATGGAAATGATTTCAGTGAGGATGCACCTACAGATGCTCTGGGAATTTCACCTCTGGCAGCAACTGTGAAAGCAGCTCGCTTAGTGGCACCTAGTCAACCGAGAGAATCGGCTCTGAAAGCAACATTCAAAGCGTTTCACATTAGTCTTGAGAGGATCGACCAGAAGCATACTGACAAGACACCTGATCATATGGACGTTGACCCTACTAGAAGTAGCAAGAGAAAAGGTGTTGATAACAAGAAAGACAGCCCACCGGACTCCCCAGAAAGGAAAAGAGGAGGTTCGACTTCGGATTTAGGAAGAACCCACCGAAATCAATCCAAAAGAAATTAATGGACCAACAACCACAACTCTATAATTTTGACCCGGCTATGGACCCTGACACGACCTACGACCCCCGATATGACTCTGAAACCAACGAATACTCTGGCATAAAAATGGACCATGACCTTGGAAACCGATTGGATAACGACACCATTACCAGCATCAATGTTGGGCCTAAGTCAGGAATGAACACCTGGGGAGATTACGGCAGACACCCAGTGTCCAACAAATCCTCTTGGGGATCAGCCGAAAACAAAGTGCTAAAGCTTCCACTGAATGTCCTCAGCAATGCGGACTTGTATGATCAACTATACTACCAAACACAGAAGCAAAGCGTAAGCAGAGATATCTGCAGTCACAAGACAACATCTCAATTCAACAAAACTCTATTACGTGATTCGCCAAGCGCGAGGCATCCCACGTCGGCCCTGACCAGGGATGTACCGGGACTACTCGAAGAGCATCTGGCGGCAGCTGACGTAGGCCGCCTGAACCCACAGGCAAGTATCTTCTCCTGTTCTCCCACTTCAAGTATGTCCGTACTCTCTTCGTGTGCTTGCGTTCTTTCAGAGCACAATAATCCAGCATCACCACCAATACTAATTCCGCTCAACACCAATGAAAATCCTGAGCCACCATCACTTGATGACAAGCATCTCTTAGAATCATCCAGCTGCAAGAATAACAAGACAATCTCTGAAATCTACAAGACTCCACTGCGTGATACGCCAAGCGCGAAGCATCTCATGTTGGCCCTGACCAGGGATGTACCGGGTCTACCCGAAGAGCCTCTGGCGGCAGCTGACGTGGGCCGCCTAGCTCCACAGGCAAGTACCCTCTCTTGCTCCTCTACTTCAAGTGCATTCGTGCTCTGTTCGTGTACTTGTGTTCTTTCAGAGCACACTAATCCAGCATCCTCATCAACACCAATACTCACCAACACCAATGATTACCATGAGTCATCACCACTTAACGACGATGCCCTCTCAGAATCATCCAGTTCGTATAGTGAAATAGGAAGAGTATCTCGTACTTTTGCTGTACAATGGAATATCAATGCTCGCATCGTGACGAATTGCTACTTCTCCTTACAAAATATCAACCAACAGTGGTATGTCTTCAAGAAACAAACACCTGGGAACATCAGGTTGCGGCCAACTACCTTGGGGGAAACTATCAGCTTCTACTTAGTCCTTGCTCATTCCACGGTAGGCAAGGAGCCGGTCTGGCAGTAAAAGAAGGTACACCCTTTGAAAGACTTCAACTGCATGCTGATATCCAAGCAGTAGCCATAAGGCTGTATGTACCAATGGAAATGACACTGGTTTCAGTATACTTATCACCTAATGATAAGAATGCTGATGACAAACTTCGTAATTTGGTTGAGGAGCTTCCAAAGCCGATTGTTCTTCTAGGCGATTTGAATGCCCACCACTCTGCTTGGGGAAGCCGAATATCGCACAAAACAAACTCGGCTCAGAAAAGAGGCAACAAAATCTTACAA